TATGTTTTCTAAAAGCAGAGGCCCGTTTAACTTTTTCACATATTTGCACTGCTGTGTTGTGTGTTTTTTTTTTTTTTTTTCCAAATTCAGATTTTCAGAAAAAAAATATTAAAAGTGAATTGTAGTTCATCCCTGGATGAACAGAAGAACCTGGTAACCACCGTGGGCAGCAGCAGAAGCAGGTGCTGTTTAAGTGATCGCCTGGGTCATTTTTTTTTATGACAGCTCATCGCCAGCTAAAAAAAAAAAAAAAAAAAAAAAAAAAAAGATACCAGGATCATAGCTGTAGCAATGATCCTGGAATTAACCACTTGGCAACAGGACACTTTTAAAAAAATGTTTATTTCGGAATTGCAGTATCCAACATGCCTTTTGAATAACAGCAGTATAAACTGTACAATCTGACATGTACAGGCTGTCATCAGGTAACAATATAACTCAGCCAGTATAAAAATGGAAAACGATGCCTTGATTATTATAACCCTATGAATGCACTGGTTAAAACCCTGCAAAATAGATTAGACATAAACATAGACTAAAACATAACGGGTATGATTTCACTCTAATCTGTTTCCATTTGCTGAACGGTCCATAAGGTTTCATGTCAGACGTGACTAGCAGAATCAAACACTGCATTTTCCTTGTAATAGGAAATGTTGCCAAAAGAGGATCAGATGAAAAAAAACGAGGGTGGGGGTAAAAAGAGTGAATGGGGAATGCTGGATTAAAAAAAAAAAGAAAAGGGAAAGGCCTGGGAGGGTAAAACAGAAAATTGCAGTGGTACAGAAGGGCCAAGATTGAAATCTGTTGTCCAATTTCAAAAAGAGTCTTACGCTCCTTAGTATAGATAAACATATTCCAATAAAGACAGGTTTTGGACTACAGTTCGTGTTTGTTTTGAGTGGAAAGCACAAGGTACTCCATCTGGTTTAACTCTTCTACTGTATTAAGCCAGAGCCTAATGGAAGGAGGGTGTGGGTCTTTCCATGCAAGCGAAATGCATGATTTGGCTGTGTTAAGATGGCGCAGGATGGATTTCTTGTAAGGTTTGGTAGAATTTTTCAAGACATGCAGAAACATGCGTCCGTCCGTCCAGAGGTAGTCTGGGGCCATCTCCAGCAGTGATCAGTAGTAGCAGGGAAATCAACAGAGACCAACAGGGGGATATATATATATATATATATATATATATATATATATATATATATATATATATATATATATACAATTTGTAATTTTTTTTAAACTTTTTCAAAATTCTTTTCAAATTTTCAAACTCCAGTAGAGCAGAGCAAATTGTGAGGTAGAGAACATTACTGAATGACATGCAGGTTGAACATCTTCCATTGCAAGTATAGAGGGAGTGCAAAGGCTCTGAGACGTTTACACTTATCAGAATTCCTAATATGTACAAAAGAAAACACACATATTCAAGTGAATTGCTGTTCTGACACTGTCTTTTCTGTTTTCTGAGGGGACAGGGGAAAAAAAAGGAGCGGGGAAGGGATAGCTTCTGCAGCTTCCCATCCAGGATGTTATCCACCAACTCGTTTATGAGGGCTTGTTGTCCCTATAAAGCAGTGTTTCTCAACTCCAGTCCTCATGGACCCCCAACAGGTCATGTTTTCAGGATTTCCATTATTTTGCACAGGTGATTTGATCAGTTTCACTGCCTTAGTAATTACCACAGCTGTTTCATCTGAGGGAAATCCTGAAAACATGACCTGTTGGGGTCCATGAGGACTGGAGTTGAGAAACACTGCTATAAAGGAACTGTGGGGTTCAGATTTTAAAATGTTTTTCCATTTGTTCTCTGACATCGGCTGTCAACATGCTCCATACAGTGTGTAATTGTAAGTAGAGAATTATTCTTCTACATGGCTGGTATACATGCCTTAGCTGTGTTAAGCAGATATTTTAGGAGAGATTTTATATGGTGTTTAATGGACATTGGGGTAACATGGAGACAATATGCCACCAGATCTCTGTCACCGTATGTATTGTAAGCACTGCAGTCCAAAAGTCCTGCAGGGCTGGGGAAGACCAGAATATGTGGAGTAAAGTGCCTTCGTCTTGATTGCAGCTCCAGGAGAGATCAGATATTTGGGATCGATTTTATGCAGAAGTTTGGGAGTCTTGTACCATTGTGACATGATTTTATAGCCATTCTCTTGCTTGCTATGCATTAGCGATAGACACCTTATGGGGAAAAAGGAGTATCCTATCTTATTTGGGGTTGGGAAAAAGATCTCTTTAGGTTGCCCTCCCATTTCCACAAAAAGGAATGGTCGCGTGGTTGCATGTCTGAGGTCAACATTGAATAGGACAGGGGCAAGGTTTGTCATAAGGGGATGTTATCCTGGCAAAGCTGTTCCAGTGAGGTGAATGAGCGCAGAGCTTGGTGAGAATGTAATATCTCTTGTATCCGGGAGCCCAACTGTTTACATGTAAGGAAGTTTATCTCGAACTTTATTTGGCTTGGAGAGTAAGAGTTTAGAACTGGAAGTCAGTCTCGTTATGAGGGAATTGTGGAGTACCCAGAAGTGGTATCAACGGGCTGGGGGCCGGTGACAAACTAGAATATTTCCTAGATTGTAAGCTCCAAGGAGCAGGGCCCTCGAACCCCTCGTGTTTTGCACTGTATTGTTATTGTACTGTCTCATGTATTGTCCCCCATTGTAATGTACAGCGCTGAGTGAACTGTTGGCGCTACATAAATACTGTATAATAATAATATTTGAATAGTACTGAGATGGCTGTTCCTATTAATGGTGACCAAAAATCACAGTTTGATCTTTGTTCAGGGCAAACCCTTCAGGCTGAAGCCAGTGTTGGCTTCTTCAAGATCTATCCAGGGTTTGCTTTTCTTTTGGATGCAGTAAAGAAAAAACAAAAAACACACAAACCTTGCACATTACCTCAGTAAAAATTTTTTATGTATTTATTAAGTTATACTCACAAATGTAGCAGTAAAAAAGGCATATAACATCCAAAACCAACACAGGGTTAAACGGCACGTGTAAGTTCCATCCAGAAGGAAGTAAACTCTTGGTCAAGGTGACGCGTTTCGAAGGGGGAATCCCTTCTTAGAGTTTTAAAATCTGCAACAGAGGACCTAAAATGGTTTGCAGGTATAATCAGTTTTCAGTGTTCAAATGACAACTGACAGCCTCTCTGTTAAGTGTTTTCTATAAGTCTTAATTCATAGGAGGCATTTAGCCACTATGTGTCAGTATTTCAGTGTTTCACTGACTTGACTTTGACTTGGACCGATACTGTTGGAGTAGAATACACACTAGAAATCAATTTGACCATTGTATTGCCTAAGTCCACATATCACAGGACAGCCATAATGCAAAACATTCAGCTTACCCTTTTCTGCATCTGTCCCCAGGAATACGCATGGAGTTTTTAGTGTGATTAGCAACATGAACTAGATTTAGGATTTTAATGGTATTATCGTGAGCCTTGCGAGTCAGGATAAATCCAACTTGATCGAGGTGGACTAGTTGTGGTAAATGTTTGAGGCGGGAGGCTAGAATTTTGGAGTTAAGTCGACATTTAACAGTGAGATCGGCCAGTAACTGCCACGGCAAGAGTGGTCTTTGCCTTCCTTGGGAAGGACTAAAATGTGGGACTTTAATGCGCTGGGTACAAAGAAGGTTGTATGACTTAAAACATTGAATGTTTTAATCATGTAAGGACACAAAGAAGCAGTAGGAATTTGTAATACTGTAAAACCATTGGGGCCCAGGGATTTGCCTGTTTTTTAGTCATGTCCAATTCCTGTCGTACTGAGGAGGGAAGCCAGGAAATGTGAAAGGAGATCAGATAGTCGTCAAACTATGATTGCAATGTTGCCATTAGTGGCAATTGGTTTAGGGAGAGAGAACTTACTACCATTGGGGCAGATGATGTACGGTATATACACTGCCAACCATTGGTCTTGTAGCGTTCTCGCCAGAAGGCAAGCACATTTGTTGCCTGGCCTTATAACGAAGAAGGTCCGATACCTGCTTATGGAGGCTTAGTAAGTCTTTCTCAACCGAATTTCCGCTTTATGAGCTTCCCAGACTATGGTTGGATTGTAGTCAGGGGTATTGTTTGTTTGAATATAATGACCAGATTCTTTGGCCACTTCAGCCACATCCGCCGAGTCCTGAAGCAGACTTTCATTCAGTCTCCAGGTCCACGTTCTGGAGGATGGGCATCTGTGAGGGCATGCTTCAACATTTTATAGGAGCGTGGTCTGACCAGGTAGGCGTCGGGACTTTTTAATACCTACTGTACTATAGATAAATATAGAGATTGCTTTAGGATTTTTTTCCCCTCATATTTTGTAGTTTTGTAAAAGCTAAAGGAGATAGTACAAATATTTTACTATCATACTGTATAGCATGCCAAGATGAGGATCTCTTTTTAACCACTTGCCATCTGGCCATTGTAGACAAACAGCTGGAAGGCTGACTCCTGAGGGCGTTTTAAAAACATCTTTCGATTTGAGCTGCTTGTGTGCAATATTTGCAATGTGCACGGTGCGCTTTGTGATGGTTGTGTCAATCAATCAGCAAATCAGAGCGAGGATCATTGACACTAGAGCATCCAGCCAGTGTCCCTGATCACTGGCCAACCCAGTACAGTGTCATTATGTGATGGACCACCTGGCACCCTACCTGGGTGCTTCTATTAGAAAACTGCTTCCTTGCCGCTGGGACACAGGACCAAGGTATTATAGCTGGGCATTGCACCGAAGGACTAGACAACACTAGCGTAGGAGCAACTGTTTGTTGAACAGAAATACAAGTTTTTATACATTTCAGAAACAATAAAAACAAATATTACACATTGGGATACAGACATCACACACTGATTAGATAACAAGGTAAAGCTGACACCAGACTAATCCCATCATGTAGGAACCTCCAGGAGGACTAGTAAACAAACAAACAATAGGTGGCTCAACCTCCCTGGCGGTATTCCCGAGTGTAGCTCGGGGTAAAATTTCAGTACCAAAAGCAGTAACCCCGAGCTACACTCGGGCTTACCATGCAGTGTTGCTCAGGGCTTTCCTGCAGCACTTACCTTGTCCTTCGCTCCCACGATGTGTCCCCTGCAGCGTCCCCGGCCATCTCCTCCGGCCAATGCCAGCATCCGGCTTCCGTGTTCCCGGTCCCTGCGAGCGTCGGGACATACGGGGGCCGGAACCGGCGACAAATTTGAAGATTTTAAAAACTGACTAAAATTACATAGTAAAACATTACTGTTTCAAACCATTTCAGATACATTTTGTCCGTGCTGCTTTTTCCTGTGCCCTGCCTGCATTTTTACTGTTCTTTCTGCCTGGAAACTTAGAAACGTCCATGGCGTCCAAAAAGCGTCCCTTTAGGTCAAAAGCAGTTTTAGACCAGCTAGAATACAGCGATTGTAAATCAGAACCACTTGCAGAATTGAGTGATAATGATTTGTGGGGAAATTCGTCAGACACTGAAAACGATTCTGCGACTGAGCTCAGCGATGTGCGAACTTGGCACTATATTTCAAATTTCAGTGTTTTTGGTTTGATTATATTATTGAATTAAATTTATTATTATATTTTTTATGATTATTTATTAAATTATAATTTATGATTTTGTGTTTCAAGTTTTATCATACCCGGAATGTTTACTAGACTCTTGTTCGGACAGATTTCAGTGAGTTATTCCTAAAAATGACAGGCCAGCAATAAAAAAATGACATATTTCCATGCAAAAAAATGTACCGCTATCAGCACAGAAATATGGACATAATCATACCGCTAGGGAGGTTAACATTGGGAGAAAGACACAGTAAACACATCACACTTTAAACTGTTACTAAATACACAATAGTAAAATCAGTCTGTATATGCAGTAAAGTATGCTTGTTATACTCACTGAAGGGTTAAACCTCCGCATTGTTTAAAAAGGCTGTTTAATCTTGTCTTCTCTGATCAACCCCCCCTTATACTGTCCCCAGTCAATCTGCTGATAGAACAGAGCTTGGGGCAAGCTGCATATGCTCAGTTTGGTGTGTATTGCTAGAATAGTTTTTTATTCTCATGGAAGAATGCTTGTGATCAGCACAGTGCCAATCAGCGTGTCCAGACAGAGGGTCAGGGATCTTGCAGCCTCATAGGACAATCAGGGGAGAATACAAACTCCTCCTATAAGCTTTAACCAGTGCTCTGCTGGATACTGATAGAAGTCACAAAACTGCTCTCACTGCAGTCTGAGATGGGAAAAGGTACTTAGCCGTTTATATTTCTAAAAATAATTGCATTTCTATCTTCTGTGCACTGTGGGAGACCAGATATATTGAATGCAGGGTCCTGGGTTGGGTAACACTTTAATAAACCTATTACAGAAGGAGACATCGGCGTCAAGTTGTTTTGAGCTGATTACATTAACATCTGCGTCTAGTGGGGGGGGGGGGGGTGGTGGGTGTTGAAGCATCAGTGTTGGGTACAGAGACCCCAAATATATATCCTTGTCCTCCAGTTCTTAGAGTCTGTGTGTTGCAAGGAGACATGGACTTGAATCTGCAGTAATAATACTCCAAAAGGACCCCCAGGTACACGCTTTCCAACAAATAGAGCCCCTTTAGATGCCGGGGCCTATGGTCAGTAGGCAAGAGGCTAGCCTGCATTCCCCTCTAAAAGACCCTGTCCCAGTTGGATTTTTCACACACTATCTCAAACAGTGCGATGGCAGTCAGACCATTAGGGTTTTAAATGTACATACCTTAGCTGTAGACTGTAAAACTTTCACACAGACTAAATATTATACACTATATTTGTTTTTCCTTATTGTACATCAGCATTTTTCATCAGTATTGTACATCACGGGGCACAGAGCATCTCAATAGTCATTACAACAGGGTTATTATGTTGCTACCTTCAGGTCTACGAACACTTGCAAAAAGCAAGACCATCTTCACCCAGGCATACCCCACCATGTTTGGTATCCAAACCCCGCACTGGACATGAGGATGGCCTGTGGTGTTGTAGGTCAGCACTGGACTGCATAACAGGACCCTGTGCAATAATATATTGCCTTGTGGACCAGTAGGGTGATATACAGCTCCTGGACAGTGATCCCAAGCTAATGAGCAGTCAACTACCTGAAGGCCCTTTGTGAGAAAGTCATAAAGATTGGATCTCCACATGGGGTCCTGCTGCACAGAATGGTGACTGTTCTGGGGTGGCCCTGTGCTAGTATCTATGCCCTAGCCTTGTGCCCTCCTCATCCCCCGGAGTAACAAGGGTTTATGCTCCTTTTTTCTTTTTATCACTCTGTTGTACTTGCGCTAGAAGCTCTTGGGCTGCCCAGAGAAGAAGCTTCCTCCTGGGCTGCCCCGCAGGTAGCTTCCTCTTCCCCCTGCATTTTCCCTACACTTACTGAGACATGGGCAAGGTGGGCCCTCAGCCAGTGATGTCACAGTAGGGGCAGACTATTCCCAGCGGCTGCCATCTTTGGCACTCCACTTCCCGGGGGGCACAGATTAAGACCACAAGTAGCAACATAAGTTGCAGATCTTACTCCCTATGCGTATCTGGTTTCTCCACTACTTATGGGGCATGTTCCTCCAGTTCAGTTCATCCGATGGTATTCTTGTCATTATAGGCCTTGTTGACCCCTCTCCAAAGATAACGCTTATGGTTCTGACCATACAGCTCTATTTTGGTCTTGTCACTCCAGATTACAGTGTGCCAGAAGTTGTGAGGTGTTTCAAGGTGTTGTGGGGTATATTGCAACCAGGCTTTTTGTGGCATTGCCGCAGTAAAGGCTTCCTTCTGGCAACTTGACCATGTAGCTCATTTTTGTCCATGAATCATCGAATTGTGCTCCTTGAAACAACCGTCTTTTCCAGAGCAGCCTGTATTTCTCATGAGGTGAGTTTTTTTTCTTTGTATCTTCTGGCAGTTTTGGCTGCAGTCTTTCTTGGTCTGCCTGACCTTGGCTTGGTATCAAGAGATCAAGTGATTGATCAGTACTGACTGGCATATTCAAGGTTTTGGATATCTTTTTATATCCTTTTCATATCCTTTTCTATCTTTAAAAAGTTCCCTTACCTTGTTACACAGGTCTTTCTACAGTGCTCCCTGCTGCAGACCAATGTTTCTCATGCGTTTCACTCTCTGGAGAGGTATGAATAGGCTCTGAATTTATAGAAGTTGGAAAATGTAGGGATATTAAGTGGAATATTTAGGCCTGACCCTCAATGCCATGTAGTTGAGAGTAATTATCCTTTTGGTTAGATTAACACTCTGCCAAATCGCTCAATTTGATTGTGGACATGATGGTAGCCTCCTTTTTGCACAAAGCCCTTTACTCTGTGTTCATTCCAAGTCCCTCCAATGGAATGTCTAAGCGACATAAAACAGGGGGGCACTGTCACTGGATTTTCCAATGTCGTTCATCCCCATCATGAAACTGGAGATGGGAAAATTCGTTCCTACCCTTATCTCGGAGGGTCCTGATGACAGATGCCAGTCACCAGCCTGATGAACTGGGGTGAAGTTCTGGACAATGTCTCAGTCAAGGAGAAATGAAATGCCACAGGAGAGGTCATAGCCCATCAACATTGTGGAATTGTCAGCCATTGACTTTGTTTCTTTCACTAAATTGCTCAGTGCAGCTGGGACTTCCTGTAATAGTCTGGTCACACAAAGCCTTGGCAGTGATGTGCATTTCCCAACAAGGAGGTACCAAATGGGCGGCTGCTCAGGAGAAAGTGGATCTAATCCTGTTGTTCCCACACTGTCCGCTGCTCACATTCCTGGCATGGAATTTTGGTAGGCTGATTTTGTCTGCCATCAAAACTGTCTCCAGGGGGCGTGGTATTGTGACACACACCAGTTCTCCCTGATTTATGCTTTGCCATAATTTCAGCTCCTACCTCGTCTGCTTTGCAGGATGCATGTGAATTGAGCTATCCTTCTAAAGCTGACCATCTGGATCGAAATTTGGCCAGTTCAGGTGGCACTAGGTGAATTTCAATCCATGTTTAGCCGCTCCCAAGTGGACTTGTTAGAAAATATTTCTCGATCAGCGGCTGCAGCTAGTGGGCTCACACCCCCAACCCTCTTCCTTTTTGTAGTTCATGGTTTTCTACAAAAACTGAAGTTTTTCCTAAGAGAAATGGGACTTCCTGTCTTGTTTTTTGGTGGTGTCACCTGAACATGGCAATATAACCCTGTGGCAGTGACTGTGGAGACTCTCTGTGTCCTGTGCTGTACTCCAAGAAAAGCATTTTACCAAAGAATTGTGTGGGAATACATTTTGGTCTAAATTTATAAAGAAAGATTTGCAAAGCTTTATTAGCGGAAACTAGGGGGAACAGTATTTGTTTACATTTTTTTTTTTTTTTTTTAAATAATAAAAAAAAATCCTATTAAAAAACCCAGTGATGATTAAATACCACCAAAATAAAGTGCTGTCTAAAAAAAGATAAAAAGTTCATTTGTGTTCAGTGTTGTGTGGCCATGTGGTTGTAGGTCAAACCACAGTGCTGAAAACTGAAACGGGAAGCTTGGACAGGAAGGGGTTTTAACGTGCTGAGATTTGAAAAGTAGTTGCATGGCTTTAAGGGTGATCCTTATCCTTGTAAACTGAGCCTTTTTTAATATACCAAAACTGTACATTTTTGAGTAATGTCTTAATGCTGTATGCTGAACTACCCCCCTTTCCTCTGTCCGCATTACAAGTGTGCTCCAAGGAAAGGAAATAGTGTGCAAGCTTGTTCAAAGTCTGCATGAATGCTCCCCGAGCCCAGCCTCTGCGGCAAAAGGGGGAGAGATTGAGCACGCCACATGTGTGCTCTTTGAACAAGCAGGTGATTAACTCCTTCTGTGTTGGGATTGTACTTGCACCATTATACCATTTTATGGCCTACAAGCATGGAATGACAATTAAGTAGTTTTTTTTTTTTTTTTTTTTTTTTTTTAAATCTGAAGTGTGGATTGCTATGTGTTTGGAATATTGTAGTGCACGGTTTTGTTGAAAATGTCCCAAAAGTTGAACTAACTCTTTAAACCTATAGATGCATACATGCATTCAAAAATAGTTTTGCTGTTCCTTACATTGTCCTATTTAGGAGTGCCCCTACTTAGATGCTGCTGTTAGCTGTTATTTGTACCCTCTTCTCAATTGGCTATAAATTACATATTTTTTTTGTTTGTTTCATAATATTTCTATTAGTGTTTTGCATACAGTAAACAGTCAAATATCATGGAAATCTTTGTAATACATAAAGTATCTGAAATGGCTGAAAACATTTTTTGCAAATCACTGGTGGTTGGACATGAAAAAAAAATAGGAATAATGAAAGTTTTTGAGGAGTGAGAAGCCAATTAAAGCACTCGTGGACATTTGTCTAGAAATTATTAAATGTCATTTTGTTCTTTTTTTTTTTTTTCCAGTCGCCCATACACAAATAAAGTGATAACACTGTGGTATCGACCCCCAGAGCTGCTACTAGGGGAGGAAAGGTATACCCCTGCCATAGATGTGTGGAGTTGTGGGTAAGTAACATTTGTGCCATTATTCCCAGCATAGAGGTAATGCTAGTTTTTGCAAGTTTACCTGGTATTGAAGTATGTGTGAACCCCCACTTTGTAAAACAACCCATTCAGTTTAAAATAGAAATGAAAGGCAACACATCTGTGTATAGATTTAAAAACATTATAAACAATTTTGTTCCCTTCTTTATAAGTGATTACATTCCCTCTGTTCTCAGCTACATAAGGAGCTGGGGAATGGTAAACAGCATACTGATCTTCCCAGTGAATGGGTGGGGATGGAGCATGTCAGCACAAGTCTGATCATTGCTTTAGCTCCCAGCGCAGCCAGAAAACTGATGAAAAATGCTCTAATGCCTAGTTTGGTCAGTTTTTAATAGGAAAGCAGAGGGACTGGCAGGAACACCAGGGATTTCACACAAAGGAAGTAGTACAAAGAACAGGATACATTTTCCTACAAGTACATGGTACAGCAGGCACATATTAGGAATATATCTTGGGTTTATATTTTTTTTTTCTTTTTCCACTGTGGGTATACACCCAAATTAGAAATTTATTAAGCATTTATAATTAGGTAATGCTTTAGGGTTTATGCACATGGTCACAGAAAACATATGCCATGGTCCGTAAAGTTCTTGCATGTACATGCATACTGTGTTTAGTCAAAATTCTACTCTCACTCCAATAAAATTACCCATGTAAGCATGTCTATTGAACTGCGTTGAAAAAAAAAAAAAATCACTGTTCAATGATAATACTGTGTTTTTTTTTTTTTATGCATTTACTCTTACGCTCTTGTACTTTTAAAGTTTAGCTTTTAAAAATACATATCATTTAGCTTCAGAATTAATGTTGAGCTTCGTTAAAAAAACAGTTTTTTTTTTTTTTTTGTGTGTGTTTTTTTTGTTTTTCTTTCCTTCCTTCATATTCATTCATTCATTTATTTTTAATTTGAAATTTTAAAGTCTTTGCAATTCTTTCTCTAAAAAACAGGTTAAACGTTCTCCATTATCTTTTATTTACTTTTTCTCTTGGTTGGAAGATTGTTTAGGAAATGTGTAGTCACTTGGCCATTCTAGATCACAAAATTAAACCATGATATTTTAACAACCTTTTGCCTGGCCAATGTAAATAAATGGGCCAGGCAGGTGCTCTGTCATTCTGTTAGGATGTACGAGTACGTTGTCCTGCTCATGCACATCGTGTGCACCCACCACAGCGTATCACTGTGCTCAGTACAAGGCTGCTGTCATTGGCCCAGGTATCATGTGATCGCTGTGACCAGTCACAGCGATCACATGTCCACTAGTAAACAACTGTCATGAATGGCGTCTGTTCATGATAGCAACTTATTACTGTATCTCTTAACTGTACAATTTGGGCTATGTTTGGATTGCAATACAAACTTTTCAAATTTGCCGTGAAAATTCAACCACTCAAAGCTCCGTTTCAAGTGGATGACTGGGATTTACATCACTTCATTCATCTCACACTTTAATGCCCACTTCCACCTAGAGCTCCTATAAGGAATGCTTACTCTATCTCCCACGCTTTACTCCACAGAGAAATACCCTTACTTGTAATTATGGTGGAGACTAGGTGAAAGAGAGCAAAGTCTAAACAGCAGAAGCTGTCTGTAAAAGGAATCTCACACATATGCCCTTCCAGGGGAGACATCTGTTGGGTGAGACACTTGCCAATTAATCGAGTTTTACTTCCTCAGAAGAATGATCTTTGGTTACTCCTCTCTTTTGGGCATCCTAAGAAATTCTTTCTTCATTGCCTGGCCGTAGCGCCATTAGCGCGTACCTAAAAGCTACGGTTTTACATAAGACAAAGGATTCACCATTTGGGCTTAAACAACTTAACCCCTTGATGCCGACATCACACAAATATGCGGCCTCTCAGAACTAGCCTTTTTTTCCGTGGGGCCGCATATTTGCTTACTGTTTGTGTGTTGGGGAGCGCGCTCCCCAGCACAAAGCCCAAGTGTCACTGAGCCCTGGTTCCCATTCTAACGATCAGGACCCGGGACTCCCGATTCCGGTCACATGATCGCTGTGATAGCCTCTGATTGGGTAGCACAGTGATCAGTCACTGTGAAGCGCCCGCCCCCCTTGGTTTTTTTCCCCCTCTGAATGGAGGAGAGAGATGCATTGTGTATCTCTCTCTCTCTCTCTCTCTCTCTCTCTCCCCCCTCTCTCCCCCCTCTCTCTCCCCCTCCTCTCTCTCCCCCTCTCTCTCCCTCTCTCTCTCTCTCTCTCACCATCTCATTCTCTCTCTCTCTCTCTCCTCTCTCCCCCTCTCTCTCTCTCTCCCCCCCCTCTCTCCCCCCCATCTCTCTCTCTCTCACACCCCCCCTCTCTACATCACACCACCCTCTCTCTCCCCCCCCCCTCTCTCCCCCCCTCTCTCTCTCTCCCCCCCCCCCCCTCTCATCTCCCCCCCCCCCTCTCTCTCTCCTCTCTCGCTCCCTCCTTGCAGACAGAAAAAAAAAATTATTTTGTAAAAAATTTGTTTTTAAATTGGCATACATGTCAGTGTGTTTTAGGTAAAAAACAAAAGTGCACTATTTGCGCTGTAGTACAGGTACAAATAACACACATATATGGTGTCACACGTGCGATCGTCAAGAGCTGGAAAATTTATTTTGGGTTGTTTTTTGGTGGTAGGTTATGGTAGCAACAAGAAACTGCAAAATGTTGAAACAAATGATAATAAAAAAAAAAAATCAGGATATCCATTACCATTACCATTTACCACCACTCCCCACCTCTCCCACCCACCCCCCCCCCTCTCCCACCTCTCTCCCCCCCCTCTCCCCCCTCCCCCCACCTCTCCCACCTCACTCCCCCCCCCTCCCCACCTCCTATCCCACCTCCCCTCACTCCCCCCCCCTCCCACCTCACTCCCCCCCCCCCACCTCCTCCCCCCCTACCTCCCCCCCCCTCTCCCACCTCTCACCCCCACCTCTCCCTCCCTACCCTCACCTCCCACCCCCCCCCCTCCTCCCCCCCCCCTCCCACCTCTCCACCCCCCCCTCCCCCCCCACCTCACTCCCCCCCCCCCCTTCTCCCCACCCCTCCTCCCCCCCCCCACCTATCCCCCCCCCCTCTCCCACCCCTCCCACCTATCCCCCCTCCCCCTCCCCCCCCCCACCATCCCCCCCCCCCCCCCACCCCCCCCACCTAATCCCCCCCCCCTCTCCCACCCACCCCCCCCCCCTCCCCACCTTCCCCCCCCCCCCAACCCCCCCACCTCACCCCCCCCCCTACTCTCCCCACCTATCCCCCCCCCCCCTCTCCCCCACCCCTCCCCCCCCCTCTCCCACCCATCTCTCCCCCCTCTCCCACCCATCTCCCCCCCTCCCACCCATCCTCCCCCCCCCCCCTCCCACCCATCCCCCCCCCCTCCCCACCTATCTCCCCCCCCCCTCTTCCCACCCTATCTCCCCCCCCCCCCCCCTCCCACCTATCCTTCCCCCCCCCCTCTCCCCCTATCTCCCCCCCCCCCCTCCCACCTATCTCCCCCCCCCCCCCCCTCCTCCCACCTATCTTCCCCCCCCCACCTACCCCCCCCCCCCCCCCCCCCCCCCACCTCCGTCCCACCTATCCCCCCCCCCCCCCCCCCCCTCCCACCTACCCTCCCTACCCCCCCTCCCCCCCCCCCCCCAACTCCCACCTATCTCCCCCCCACCCCCTCCCCCCTATCTCCCCCCCCCCCCCCACCGCCCCCCCCCCCCTCCCAACCTATCTTCCCCCCCCCCCCCACCTATCCCCCCCCCCCCTCCCACCGACCCCCCCCCCCCCTCTCCCACCTATCACCCCCCCCCCCCCCTCCCCACCTATCTCCCCCCCCCCCCCACTCCCACCATCCCCCCCCCCATCCCCCCCCCTCCCCCATTACCCCCCCCCCCCATCCCCTCCCCACCTATCTCCCCCCCCCCCCCCCCCCCTCTAACCCCCCTTTCCCCCCCCCCCCCTATCTCCCCCCCCCCCCCCCCCACCTATCTCCCCCCCTTTTCCCCCTCCACTCCCCCCCCTCCCCCCCCCTCCCCCCCTCCCCCCCCCCCCCCCCCTCCCCCCCTCCCCCCCCCCCCCCTCCCCACCACCCCCCCCCCCTCTATCCCCTATCCCCCCCCCCCCCCTTCACCCTCCCCCCCTCTCCCCCCCCCCCCCCCCCTCTCCCACCTACTCTCCCCCCCCCACCTCTTTCCCACCTATCTCCCCCCCCCCCCCCCACCTATCCCCCCCCCCCCCTCTCCCAATCCCCCCCCCCCCCCCCCCTCCCACCTATCTCCCTCCCCCCTCCCCACCCCCCCCCCCCCCCTCCCCCCAACCCCCCCCCCCCCCCCCCCCACCTATCTCCCCCCCCCCCCCCCCCCCCCCACCATCCCAACCTATCTCCCCCCCCCCCCCCCTCCTCTCCCACCTATCTCCCCCCTTACTCCTCCCCCCTATCACCCCCCCCCCCCCCCCCTCCCACCTATCTACCCCCCCCCTCTCCCACCTATCTCCCCCCCCCCCCTCTCCCACCTATCTCCCCCCCCCTCCCCACCTATCTCCCCCCCCCCCCCCACCCTCCCCCCCCCTACCCCCTATCTCCCCCCCCCTCTCTCTCCCCCTATCTCCCCCCCCTCCCCCCACCTATCTCCCCCCCCCTCTCCCTCCTATCTCCCCCCCCCCCCTCTCCCACCTCCCATCTCCCCCCCCCCTCTCCCACCTATATCCCCTCCCCACCTATCCCCCCCCCCTCCCACCTAATCCCCCCCCCCCACTCCCACCTATCTCCCCCCCCCCCCTCTCCCACCCCCAATCTATCTCCCACCTAACCCGCCCCCACTATCTCCCCCCCTTCCCCCTATCATCCTCCCCCACCTATCTTCCTCCCCCCCCTATCCCCCCCTCTCTCCACCCATCTCCCCTCCTTCCAACCTATCTCCCCCCCCTCCTCCCCCACCTATCTCCCCCAATCTTCTCCCCCACACTATCTCCCCCTCTTTT